CCGCCGGACCGGCCAGAAGTGACGTCACTTCCGGCCAGTCCGACATCAGGCGAGCAGCGTCGCTGATGGGGCCCTAGCTTGTCTCAAAGCCGCTGGAGCGGCAATGCTGGGGCCCTGCGCTGCTAGGGCCAGGCCTCCACCTCCTTGCCCTTCACCGTCGGCCGATAGTCTTATAAGGGACCCGGGCGGGCCCCCCAGGCTGCCCGGGCCCCTTACATGAGTATCGGCCGTACCCCCCTGATGGCTGCCCTGATTGCAAGTCTCCAGACCAGCGAGCTTGCAGAGCTCTTGCTAAGATCCGCAGGACTCTTGCTGTGGACTTGCCGAGCAAATTTGCTACAAATTCAAAAAGTGTCGCCTAGAACTTGTGCTGCGAGTGCTCTGCAAGTCTACAACCAGCCAGGAATGTGCGCAGCAAGTTATCAAGAATGACAATTTCACCCCGCCACAAGTTTGTGGAAAGTTATCCTCGCTATCTGGGAAGTGGTGCCAAACAGACATCCAGACAGGCCGCAAAGTCCAGGGTAGTATCCAAAGGTGAAGACTCCGAGAAAAGAAATAGCAGTTGAAGTACAAAAGCCTAGAACAAGGGTTGGTACCTCCATCACAGACAGTGTTTGAGTCCTTTGAATTCCTATTTACTTTGCTAGGAGCTACCCAGGATTCAGCAAAGACATCATATGACTACACTAGTCATTGAACTGAGCATGCTCCATAGTAGTAAGGGTGGAAGTGCTTTGGAGATGCAGGTACTGAACTGAGCATGCCCAGAGAGGAAGGGTGGAATGGCTGCATAGTGTTGGCAAAGATACACAGCAAATCCTATGTGCAGACTATCGATGCCTTCGGAAAACCTGCGCAGGTGTAGCAGATACAGGTAGGCATCTGGCAGGTGGGAATTTAGGCAGTGAACAGTTTATGAAGGGGAAAGATGTTTAGGAAGTGGGGAGTTTACAGAAGTGGGGAGATTATGGACATGGGGAGATTATGGACATGAGGATTTTAGGAAGGTGGCTATGGCTATGAAAGTGGATTGATAATTTTTAGGATGAGTTTAGGAATGGGGGGGTTGTAGAAGTGGATTGATTATGCTTAGGAGGAGTTTAGAAATGGGGGGTTATAGAAGTGGGGAGATTATGCTTAGGAGGAGTTAAAGAA